TAAGTAAAATTTCTTTAATGTAATGGTACTTTTACTTGAGTAGAATATTTTCGTACTCTTTCCACCTCTGGCTGTATGTCTCCACCAAGGCTGGGGCCAGGGCAAGACGAGACTTGGCGTGGGCCAGTTTAATGACACGGGTTGCAATGCTGTGGATCAAGCTAATGGGAAAAACGAAAGGTCATCTGAGAATGTGGTACTCATGAATGAGCACAACTACAATACATTACACACACACCTTCATACATCCATGGTATACATCACCATGGTTTGCTGAAGAAACCTTTATGCATACAGGACTAGCAGCCTTAAGGTGCTTGCACACTGAGTCCGAATGCGTTTTTTCGTATTCGTCATCCTAAAAATTCGTCACTGTCACAAATCCGGTCTATGAACTTCCGTTCACTCACCACCAGAGGTCACCCGCTCACTACAGGGACTCTTACACTACACACACTGTTACACTATACCCTGGACTACATTTCCCATCATCCATTTAATTAAGAGACTTGCGTTTTAGACACTATATTGCCTGTTTTTGCTGTATTTCAACAACAAAAATAATTCCAAACACAGCCACAGCACAGTTTTGCGTCTTTCACTCACCACCAGAGGTCACCTGCTCACTACATTGACTCTCACACTACACAACTGTTACACATCACCCTGGACTACATATCCCATCATCCATTGCACTGATTGCACACAGCACTGATTGCACACAGCTGCAACCAATCACACACTCACTATATTACCCCCACTCAGATCCCTTTCAAACTGCCGAGTATTGTTTTAGCGCTTATAACTCATCGTGTGATAGCTGCTTTACGGAGCCATTCTAAATTCCTTAATCTAGTACTGCCTTGTTCTTAGTCTGTTTACCCATGTCTTGATCTTAGCCTGTTATCTCGTTTTGTCTGATCTCTGCCTGCCCTGAAGTTTATAGCCTGATTTGGAATTACCCTTTACCTTGCTGTTTCGGACTGTGTTTGCACCTCGCCTGGACTCTAGCTCGTCTTGTGGATTCCCCATTTGCCTCGCCCTCAGGATTACGTTCACCGTCGACTGACTCACGCCTTCCTTACTCGGCCACACAAGGATCCAGCGGCTTTTCAAGTGGACACTGGCAAGGTATGGACATTGTAAGACTGTTATTAGCCCTCAAACAGGGCACACGATCTCTCGAGGACTATATTCAAGAGTATCTGAACTTTACTTATTTTTCTGATCTGCCGGACTGTGTACTCATAGACTTCTTTTGTGAGGGCATTAATCAGCCACTCAAATCACGTTTAATCCGTGAAGGTCCCCGCTCATCTCTCAGTCAGTTTATGGACTATGCTTTGTTGACTGTTGGTTCAACGTTCACTGTGTTGGGTGTCGTGTAGGAACGCAACCTTGCATTCACTCGTGTAATGGCAGCCACACTAGAGCACGCTCACAAAATGGCGGACACAACAGCGCACCATTATGTCACAGCTGCCAATCCTGAATCAAGTCAAGTCACGGCTGTGCCGTGGTGTTCTCCTGTCTGGCTCTGGTGGTCTTCTGCTCTGCTGTGGTGGTCTGCTGCTCCGTCTGCTCTGTCGTGGTGGTCCTCAGTTCCACCTACATCACCCTGAACTACATATCCCATCATCCATTGCACTGATTGCACACAGCAGTAACCAATCACACATTCACTATATAATATTCACTCAAACAACCATTCACTGCCGAGTATTGTTTAGCGCATATCACTCACCTAGCGATAGCTACTCTACGGAGCCATTTCTAGTTTTCATAGTTTAGTGCATGGTGGTCTGCTGTCTGGCCCTGGTGGTCTTCTGCTCTGCCGTGGTGGTCTTATGTTCCGTCTGCTCTGCTGTGGTGGTCCTCTGCTCCGCCTGCTCCACCGTGGTGGTCTGCTGTCTGGCTCTGGTGGTCCTCTGCTCCGCCGTGGTGTTCTTCTGTCTGGCTCTGGTGGTCTTCTGCTCTGCTGCCCCTCTTGTCAAGCCCTCTGGATAACGTTTGCTGTCGACTGACTCACGCCCGTTTTGAATTACTCTTCGTCTTGCCCTCATATACCTGTTTGCCTTTGTCTGAACCTTGCCTGTTTTATGACAACGCCTTTAAATAAAAGCTTTGCAGATGGATCCGCATGTCTCTCGTCTCGTCGGCTCCGTTACAGTCACACACAGAAACCTTGCACACTGAGTCCGATGCGTATTAACTAATCAGTTGCGAAAAAATTCGCAAAGCAATACTAAATGGAGTCTTCAAGCAGTGAGGATGATTTTGTTGTCCTCTCGCTTCTTAAAAAGAGAAAAAGAAAAAAAATATTGGGTTCATCCAATCCTGAGATACAGAGAGGAAGGAGAGTTCCCCTCGTTATTAAGGAGCAGCGGGATTATCACAGGAGATTCAAAGTTGACTTCAGGATGTCAGTGGCTCAGTTTGATGCTTTGCTAGTGATATTAGAGCCACATATTAAAAAGAAGACCACCAATTTCTGTGAACTCATTGTTTTTTAAAGTGCTTTGTGCTGCGAGACGAAGTGGATCAACTTGACAATCGCCATTCTGGATTTCGGCGTTCGCTTGTACGGTGGCTCTGAATTGTCAAAACACCTCTCAAAATGCTTGCTACGGATGCAAAAAAACGCAGAAAATCTAACCCGATCTGAATTTTTTATGACAATATAGTTTATCTGAGTTATTATTATTATAATTTTCATTATAATGAAGTATATTTATAATGCAACGCCTTTATCACTGCTTAGAATACTATGAAATATTTTGCGTGCCTTATTCTGTGTAAGAAGCCACATCATCTCACAGAAGGATTTATTTCAAACACTCGACTGACGTTATGAAGTGAGTTTAGAGTAAAAACGTTATTAAATGTGCTATTTTCACGTGCTTTCAGATGGAGCAGCATTTACTACACAGAGCCGTAGCTCACGGAGAAGCTAAGCAAACAGCTGTCATTATCACAAACAATTTCATAATCGCGCAATTTTTCTTGCGTAACTTGTCAGTGAACTACGGCTCTTGTGTAGTAAATGTTGCTCTATCTGAAAGCATGTGATGGAGATTTACTGCTGATTACAGAACCGCCTTTACTGACAAAATGCGCATGACATCCGCATTCGATTAATCATGCAGCCCTAGTCTTGTTGTTGTTGTTGTTTCGTCTCTTTAGTTTCGTCTTCTGCTGTGAAACAACGGCCCGGGACAGTGTTGCCACCTGGTGGAACAACTGATTACTGCAAAATAACTTTAATGCGCATGTGTGACCTGCGCGTACACAGTACTTTGGGCATTAGAGAGCAACACATGTATTTAAAGTGAGTAATGCCTTGGTATGTATGATAAACCTCTCTAAGGCTGGCCACACAGTAGAAGATTTTAAGACAGATTTTAAGCCCAATTTGCACCAACCCTGAAGGTTCGGGGGGGGGTGGCCCAATTCGAGGCTTGTCGCAAACAATTTTTTGCCCAAAAATCCTCTATTGTGTGGTGTCATTACGATTATTTAACTGCTCCCGATTGAGACGGAGTGTCCCTGAAATCAAATCATAAATATCAAACATGTTTGTGGTGTGTGGTGTGTGGTCTCACAGTCTGGTCGAATCGGTCTAGTGTGCGCATTCAGAGGATTATAAGGCTAAAAATCGGTTGAAACTGTCTTCATGTCTGTGGTCTCCCATGGTTTTAAAATCGGTTAAGATTTGAAAATCGTCTAGTGTGTGGCCAGCCTAAAGCCCGAAACACACTGCACGATTTTAGCAATCCTATAAGATCATTGCATATCACACTATGTGACATGGATCTAATAAACTTGGCTACGACGTGTGTAGACTGTACGATGATGACACCTATTGACTCGTACTCTACGACGCATGTTACTATAGAAGAATAAAACGTCATCAGCATGCGCTAGTGCTTAAAAAAGGAACATAATAAATCCCACTTTGGCAGTTGTAGTTTTTATGTGTGCTGAAAAAAGTGGAAGAGCTTGAGGTAAGCAGTTTTATGTTTTAGCTCCATGTCGCGTTGATTTCATGTCGCATTTTTATTGGTTGGTCAGTAAACATGGATCGTAACAGCAAACACACTGTGCGATAATCATGCTGAATCGTAAGCTATCTTTGGTCGCAAGACTTTGAAAACTTTGTAAACTGTTGCACAGATGCAATACATTCACACAATATTCTAATTGTTATGAACTTGACATTGGGGAGCGAGGCTTACCCATAACTCTGTGTTGCTTTAAGCTTATTATCATGTGTCCAGGATACGCAATAGTGTTTTTGTGCAGCCTTGTTTTGGAGCCTTTCATACAATGGTGGTTTTGTGCAATAAAAGATCATTAATATTTGTCTAATTTGTTTTGTTCTATCGCATGTATCATGTCCATCATTTTAAATTATATAGTGCACATACATGTATATAGGGGTTGTACAATGAAACACTGGCCAGTTGGCCAATGCCAAATGTGGGTTTCAATGGTGCCAGCAGCACAAATCTTGGGCTGTGGACAATGTGAAACATGTATTGTTTTCCAAGTCCACTTTCACTGTCTTTCCCACATCCAGGAGAGTTAGGGTGTGGAGAAGGGGTGCCCAGAGTGAAGCATAAGGGTGGATTAGTGATGGTTTGGACTGCAACATCATGGCATTCCCTGGGCTCGCTACTTGTGCTTGGGCACATCACTGCCAAACCATTCTGGAGGAACATGTACACCCAATGGTTCACACACTCTACCCTGGAGGTGGTGCTGTGCATCAGCGTGATAATGCAGCCATACACACAACAGGACTGCTGAAAGACTGATTTGATGAACATGAAAGTGAAGCTAAACATCTCCCATTGCCTGCACAGTCACCAGATCTGAAAATTATTCAGCTACAATAATTGGGGAGATTTGGGAGAGTGAGTCAAGACACATTTTTCTTCACCAGCATCACATATACCACATTATAAAATTGATAGTTCCGGTCTTTGATTCTGATTAGTTGAGCCAATCATTTGGCTCAAAAAACAGACATTTGTGTGTTGCTCGGCAACCACTTCGTTGGAACCACAACCGTTTCTGAGGAACTACATTGTTTGGCTGAAGAATAATGTTTTTATTAATATCATTACACTTTATTTGCTCTGTTTTATTTTGTGAAACCTTACTACATAGATGGAATAACCATTTTATAAAAGCAATAAGCCCCGTAAAGCCGTTGTTTACAGTGAATTTATAACAGCTAAGGGGGTTTTAACAACGCCCCTTAGCTGTTATAAATTCACTGTAAACCACGGCTTCACGGGGCTTATTGCTTTATTTGCATGGTTCAAGTGACCTAATTGTGACCTAAAAGTGACCTAAAGATCGGATATGACCCATGAATGTGTAAGCAGGAAAAAAGCACATGGATTCCGATATCCTCAGTTTGGTTTCGGACCTCCTTCATATGTGGAAATAAACCAGACATGAATCAGGTATGCGCATTCGTGTTTGCCATGTAAACAGACAGATCAGATATACTCCCCTGTCAATGCGAGTCATACATCACTGAAAAAGGGATTCCGACAGAGGAGGACTCCCACTACAGGGAAAACCACCTAAAAATGTGGCTGGACTAGTTTTAAACAGCAGTTGGGCTTTGTTCTGTTTCGCAGACCTGGCAACCTGTCAGTACGTCTACCCTAGGTTGTTTCACCAAGTGTATAGTGTAAAAGCAGATATCGGATACGGGTCACTTTTAAAAGGAGATGCTAGCTGGTCATCAAAAACAAATCGGATATAGTCAACAAATCGGAACTAGGCATCAAGACCTGCAGTGTAAATGCAGCCGCAGTGATCTGGCCACTGTTCTACAAGAGGAATGGCTCAAAATCCCTCTGACCAGCATGCAGGACTTATATCTGTCATTCCCAAGATGAACTAATGCTCTACTGTAGAGGTTGACCGATGTATCGGTTTTGCCGATTAATCGGCTCAATAGTTGATTGCTGGAACTATCAGCTATCAGCAAAAATCCCTGCCGATAGTTTTCCGGGTTGCGTCATTGCTGGAGTGGCTGAGAAGGGTCTGCTGTCATTATACAGAGCGAGAGCGGCCTCTAGAGGCGAATTACTGACACCTCCTGCTGTTTGTTTTGACACGTGAGGCTGCACAAAGCGGGAAAATTCAGACGCGGATTTAAATACGGCTGACAGAAAATCCTGCCATTCACATGTTTCTCCATTAAATTACATTATATTTGTCCCAAATCATTGTTAATTTTCATAATGACTTCACCCTAGGCTGTAAAATTGTGTATTGTGCATTTTTCAGCAAAACGTTTGTCTTTCTGTGGCTTTAATAAAGTCTGTATTCTTCATACAGAGAGCTGTAATATAGATAGCACTTTCTCTTTCTGTTTGCTTCATTTAAACACCAAACTTGAAACTCATCTATGCTGATTTGTTCATTCTTTCCTGTTGTTGATTAAATAAACCGTTTTAGACCACCGCTTGAACTGAATGTGACAACTATTAACTATCGGTCGACCTCTACACTATCGACTGCAAAGGAAAGCCCTACAACATACTAATACATTTCTGCTGTCTAAAACCAGGTCTAAAACCATCACAAATGTACTGAGCATAAGATTCTAAGAATTCTGACGCTCTTGTAACACAAATAGCAATTTCTAATTGCAGTTTTTAAAATCATGATGTTCAGCTGCAACAGAATGCTTTGTAAAAGACAGAGAATAAATGTTTGTCATCTAAATGTCTGACTTCATTTTTTTTGTAATGGATTTTTTTATCTTATTGAAATCAAAACTAGGAATCGATAAGAATCGGAATCGATAAGCAGAATCTGAATCAGAACCGATAAAATACAAACGATACCCAACCCTAAACGAAACTAATGGAAGAGATGAGTTGGCGTGTCTCCTCTCACCTCATCTTAGCGTGGACAGTGAGGAAGTCCAGCAGGTTCATGGGTAAAGGCATGACAGAGCCGGACACCATGCAATTAGTGCCGGGCAGAGTGATGCGCATGCTGTTGTTACCGTAGATGGTCTCCACCAGCACACCCATGGGCAGCGTGAAGCACTCGGATTTTGTGGAGTATGCTTTACACAGCAGAGCGATCTTATAGTCGGTCATGGGCAGACTCTTGCGCAGACTCTGCTGGAGTTAGGGGTTAGGAACGGTTAGGGGTTGGTCTGTGTTAGGGGTGGAACGGTTCTCGGTAAAAAATCGAACCGTACGGTTCTCCACACACGGTTCGGCACGCACTAGGACCGAGGTTCAAATTAAATCTGACAACGCATCTGTAATATTGTTTTTTATAAATAACAACACGTAAAACAAACAGGGTTCGGCTAATGTATGTTTGTGTTTATGTATGCGCATTCTGGCTTCCCAGTGCATTACAACAACAGCGATGAAAAAAAAACGTGGACAAACCATTCACTCTTCTTCAATACGAATGCTGTCATTTATTCCGCCATCACCCGGGTGCTGATAGCGCACATGCACAGGTGAGACATGAACAGCACACCGTGTTAGTATCTGTGTTTAAACTAAACTCATTTAAGCCTTGCCAGTTTAAACATTTAAGAGGACGCGAGCTCGTGAGTTCTGTTGAACTTTCTATTCATCTGTGAATCCTGAAAAATAAAATGTATCATGGTTTCCACAAAAATATTGGGCAGCACAACTGTGTTCAACACTGATAATAATCAGAAATGTTTCTTGAGCAGCAAATCAGCATATTAGAATGTAACACTGAAGACTAGAGTAATGATGCTGAGAATTCAGCTTTGACCACAGAAATAAATTACAGTTTAACAGATATTCACATAGAACACAGCTGTTTTATATTAATATTTTACAATTTTACTGTATTTTCGATCAGGTAAATTCAGCCTTGGTCAGCAGAAGAGAATTCTTTCAAAACCTTTTTAAAAATATGAACTGACAGCAGGATTTAAAGAGATCTGAAGTCTATAAGATCATCAATACAATCAGACTCCTCTGCCTGTTTGATGGAAAACTCTTCAATGCATTCCTCTGGGTGAGCATTTAATTGCATTGTGCTCATTACATGCTTTAGCTAAACTCCAGGACTGATGGGCAGTCGTAGCACGTCTGTCTTTCACAGATGCTGTGGGCTGATGGCTGGATCACAGCAACCCAGCAGACGGAGCCAGCAGCTTGTGTTTCATCAGCTGTCCTGCTGGGCTTCACAAACGTACAAGCACAAAGCTAACAACTATAGCCGACACCGTGTGCAAACATCACTAATCACAGCAACTTCCCACATGACTAATTCAGTGAGCTAATATTGGCAGCACTAATGACAGACAGCTGATATCGGTTCTGGCTGTGGCCCTCAGTCTGTTTACTATATGGTTCCTTTAAAACATTCAGAGCGAATTTAATAAGAATGAACTGAATCTGTGGAAAGAGCTGTTTATTTGCAAGTGCTGATTTAGGGCCTGATCTATAAGAGGAATTATGTAGATCAGACAATGGGACAAACACAAAATCTGTGCTGAATACTAGTGATGCATCTAACCATTTGGCAAAAATGAACTTGACAATGACAATATCAATTTCTCGTATCGATGTTGATGATCTTTTAGTCTATGCTGTTTTCGGTTGATGCATGATCAAAACTTCATTAAATAGCAATCAAAATAAGCGTTGTGCTTTGTTACTGGAAACAAATATGAAACAAAGTCTCAACTTTCAAACTGTCAATTTTATAACAACAATCAAAAAATAAATGTGGTTTGTCGTGCTTTAATGTGCCGTGGCAGATCACTGTTTCTCTTCCTTTACTACTAGTTACAGCAGCAAATAAACATGAATGAACATCAGAAGGTGTTGAAAGAAACACCACAACTTACTGAAATAAATCATCTCTCATGTAATCACTCAATCAGTGTTTCAACCGCAGAAAGATGTCAATAAATCAGCTTATGAACAATGTCACGTAACATCACATTTACCCTCAGGAAAGATATTCAATGACCATAAACTCAATAGTTGACTAGAAAAAAAATAACTAGAAAGGAGCATTTTGATAAATATGTGCACTATATTACATATTTATTATATTTTTACTTAACCAGTTGTCTTAATTAATTAATGCATGTTTGAATAAATCTGTGTTGAAAGCAAACTTTTATTAGAGCCACCCTTTAATTAATTGGAGTAGAACCATAATTATGTCATTATAAAATGTATTTTATAAAACTGCCTTAGGTGCATTTTAAATGTTTACACACAACTATTTTTTTTTTTTTGAGTGTTGATTATTAAATACATTTTATTCTTAAACATTAAGGCATTGACATCGCCACTACAGTGAATATGAAATACGAATTTTGGCATAAACACGTAAATTACATTTAATAAAATGATTGTCAATGAAAAAAAAACTAACTGATTAAAACACTTAATTCAAATAATTGGGTTCATTCTGATGTTATTCATCAGAATATCTCTTCTCCTATCCCTGAGAATGTGTAATTTTTAAGTCTTCTTGCAGACTTTAGGTGGCATTTAGTCAACTAGATGACTACAGCACAATGAAACTAGCGAGTTGTGCTATTTGAAAACAGAGGAGAAAAAGGGTCCCCTCTTTTTCTCGTTTTCCTTTGCTTTTTCAAATTAGAGATGCACCGATTGCAATTTTCTTTGCCGATTCCGATTTTCTTTCTAAAAAATATAATTGACAGCATATACAAACGGAAATCCATACTATTTTTTAATGCAAAAAAATATATATATATATATATATATTTACATAATAAAAAATGTTTAACTGTAAAACATTACAGTTCCCCCAATCTGGACAAAGTTACAGATGTTCTCTCACTTAAACAACTCTGAAAATAAAGTGATCTGTGACTAGAAAAGAGGTAGAAATAACAATTAACTGAAAAGGAGTTGCTGTACTATTTAACAAAACAGATGTCATTTCCCATTGTTTCCCATTTTTTCACTGACCTGTTGTTACCATTCAAATGAAATCAGTATCAACAAACTCCATCTTTCCACTGCAGCAAACACAGAAGCTGCATCTGAAGTGGCATTAGATGTATTTACACAGACTGTTTGATGAAGCAGAGGTGCCATAAATGCATTTACACTGCAAAATGTTTAATGCATAAAGAATTTTATAAGATTAATGTTTTAAATATTTTTAAACAGACAAATAAGAAATGATTGGAAAAATGAAATGATAGTTTTAAATATGACACCAAACCAGTAGGTGGCGGCAAATGACTGTTTGTTTGAATGAGTGAGTCATAAAGTCCTTCATTAAACAGATTCGTTCAAACGACTGATTCATTCAGAAACGAGGCAAGTGACTACTGTCTTCATGAATGGGTTACTGAATCATTGACTCACTTGATTCGTTCAAAAACGTGGATTCATGGTGCGCATGTTACTGCAGTGTTCTGTAGGCTGCTGATTTTTGCTCATGTTATTCAGCTGCAACAGAATGCTTTGTAAAAAGACAGAATACATCTAATTAATTGACTCTCTTTTTTTTATTGGATTTTTTTATCTTATTGAAATCAAAACTAGGAATCGATAAGAATCGGAATCGATAAGCAGAATCTGAATCAGAACCGATAAAATACAAACGATACCCAACCCTAAACGAAACTAATGGAAGAGATGAGTTGGCGTGTCTCCTCTCACCTCATCTTAGCGTGGACAGTGAGGAAGTCCAGCAGGTTCATGGGTAAAGGCATGACAGAGCCGGACACCATGCAATTAGTGCCGGGCAGAGTGATGCGCATGCTGTTGTTACCGTAGATGGTCTCCACCAGCACACCCATGGGCAGCGTGAAGCACTCGGATTTTGTGGAGTATGCTTTACACAGCAGAGCGATCTTATAGTCGGTCATGGGCAGACTCTTGCGCAGACTCTGCTGGAGTTAGGGGTTAGGAACGGTTAGGGGTTGGTCTGTGTTAGGGGTGGAACGGTTCTCGGTAAAAAATCGAACCGTACGGTTCTCCACACACGGTTCGGCACGCACTAGGACCGAGGTTCAAATTAAATCTGACAACGCATCTGTAATATTGTTTTTTATAAATAACAACACGTAAAACAAACAGGGTTCGGCTAATGTATGTTTGTGTTTATGTATGCGCATTCTGGCTTCCCAGTGCATTACAACAACAGCGATGAAAAAAAAACGTGGACAAACCATTCACTCTTCTTCAATACGAATGCTGTCATTTATTCCGCCATCACCCGGGTGCTGATAGCGCACATGCACAGGTGAGACATGAACAGCACACCGTGTTAGTATCTGTGTTTAAACTAAACTCATTTAAGCCTTGCCAGTTTAAACATTTAAGAGGACGCGAGCTCGTGAGTTCTGTTGAACTTTCTATTCATCTGTGAATCCTGAAAAATAAAATGTATCATGGTTTCCACAAAAATATTGGTTAACAGACATTCACATAGAAAACCATTATTTTAAATTGCAATAATATTTCACAATTTTACATTTTTTTTCTGTATTTTTGGTCAAATAAATGCAAAGTAGAGACTTCTTTAAAACACATTACAAATCCTACTGACCCCAAACTTTTGAACAACAGTATATACTGTAAAAGAGCAATAAACATTGAGCTGCAGTGATTATAATGAGAGAAATATACAAGATAACAAAAAATATACACTAGCCGTGAAAGTTTTCTCGTCTTTTAAAGACGTTTCTTCTGCTCATCAAGGCTGCATTTATTTGATAAAAAATACAATAAAAACAGAAAAAATGTGAAATATTATTATTAATTAAAACAGCTGTTTTCTATGTGGATATCTGTTAAACTCTAATTTATTTCTGTGATCAAAACTGTATTTTCAGCATAATTACGCCAGTCTTCAAAGTCACGTGATCTTCAGAAATCAGTATAATTGACACAAAATATTTATATCTCAAATAAATGCTGTTCTTCTGAACTTTCTGTTCATCTGTGAATCCTGGAAAATAAAATGTGTCACAGTTTCCACAAAAATATTTTGTAGCACAACTGTGTTCAACACTGATAATAATCAGAAATGTTTCTTGAGCAGCAAATCAGCATATTAGAATGTAACACTGAAGACTAGAGTAATGATGCTGAGAATTCAGCTTTGACCACAGAAATAAATTACAGTTTAACAGATATTCACATAGAACACAGCTGTTTTATATTAATATTTTACAATTTTACTGTATTTTCGATCAGGTAAATTCAGCCTTGGTCAGCAGAAGAGAATTCTTTCAAAACCTTTTTAAAAATATGAACTGACAGCAGGATTTAAAGAGATCTGAAGTCTATAAGATCATCAATACAATCAGACTCCTCTGCCTGTTTGATGGAAAACTCTTCAATGCATTCCTCTGGGTGAGCATTTAATTGCATTGTGCTCATTACATGCTTTAGCTAAACTCCAGGACTGATGGGCAGTCGTAGCACGTCTGTCTTTCACAGATGCTGTGGGCTGATGGCTGGATCACAGCAACCCAGCAGACGGAGCCAGCAGCTTGTGTTTCATCAGCTGTCCTGCTGGGCTTCACAAACGTACAAGCACAAAGCTAACAACTATAGCCGACACCGTGTGCAAACATCACTAATCACAGCAACTTCCCACATGACTAATTCAGTGAGCTAATATTGGCAGCACTAATGACAGACAGCTGATATCGGTTCTGGCTGTGGCCCTCAGTCTGTTTACTATATGGTTCCTTTAAAACATTCAGAGCGAATTTAATAAGAATGAACTGAATCTGTGGAAAGAGCTGTTTATTTGCAAGTGCTGATTTAGGGCCTGATCTATAAGAGGAATTATGTAGATCAGACAATGGGACAAACACAAAATCTGTGCTGAATACTAGTGATGCATCTAACCATTTGGCAAAAATGAACTTGACAATGACAATATCAATTTCTCGTATCGATGTTGATGATCTTTTAGTCTATGCTGTTTTCGGTTGATGCATGATCAAAACTTCATTAAATAGCAATCAAAATAAGCGTTGTGCTTTGTTACTGGAAACAAATATGAAACAAAGTCTCAACTTTCAAACTGTCAATTTTATAACAACAATCAAAAAATAAATGTGGTTTGTCGTGCTTTAATGTGCCGTGGCAGATCACTGTTTCTCTTCCTTTACTACTAGTTACAGCAGCAAATAAACATGAATGAACATCAGAAGGTGTTGAAAGAAACACCACAACTTACTGAAATAAATCATCTCTCATGTAATCACTCAATCAGTGTTTCAACCGCAGAAAGATGTCAATAAATCAGCTTATGAACAATGTCACGTAACATCACATTTACCCTCAGGAAAGATATTCAATGACCATAAACTCAATAGTTGACTAGAAAAAAAATAACTAGAAAGGAGCATTTTGATAAATATGTGCACTATATTACATATTTATTATATTTTTACTTAACCAGTTGTCTTAATTAATTAATGCATGTTTGAATAAATCTGTGTTGAAAGCAAACTTTTATTAGAGCCACCCTTTAATTAATTGGAGTAGAACCATAATTATGTCATTATAAAATGTATTTTATAAAACTGCCTTAGGTGCATTTTAAATGTTTACACACAACTATTTTTTTTTTTTTGAGTGTTGATTATTAAATACATTTTATTCTTAAACATTAAGGCATTGACATCGCCACTACAGTGAATATGAAATACGAATTTTGGCATAAACACGTAAATTACATTTAATAAAATGATTGTCAATGAAAAAAAAACTAACTGATTAAAACACTTAATTCAAATAATTGGGTTCATTCTGATGTTATTCATCAGAATATCTCTTCTCCTATCCCTGAGAATGTGTAATTTTTAAGTCTTCTTGCAGACTTTAGGTGGCATTTAGTCAACTAGATGACTACAGCACAATGAAACTAGCGAGTTGTGCTATTTGAAAACAGAGGAGAAAAAGGGTCCCCTCTTTTTCTCGTTTTCCTTTGCTTTTTCAAATTAGAGATGCACCGATTGCAATTTTCTTTGCCGATTCCGATTTTCTTTCTAAAAAATATAATTGACAGCATATACAAACGGAAATCCATACTATTTTTTAATGCAAAAAAAAATATATATATATATATATATA